TCCACCCGCCCTCGTCCCGCGCCCCGAGGACTATTCCGATGTTTTCAGCGGCTTTCACGCATCTCGATCCTTCTCGATCCCCGTCCTCGACCTCCCGGCCGCCGGAGACGACCCCACGCTCCTCCATTTCTGCGGCGGTCCTGACTATGCCGAGATTTTCGGCGATTCTGGAGGCGAGGATTTTGCGGCGACCTTTGAGGATTTAATCAGGCATTCCGCCGGTGGAAATGGCTCCTCCGTCGAGCCAGGGTATACTCATTAGTCATTACTGTTTCCTGAAACCAATGCTTGGTGTAGATCACCTTTTCAGTGTTTCTTCTCATTTTTCCTTTTTATCTTCTTTAGGATATGAGGATAAGAATCTCACGGTATGACACCATACTTACCTGAACCGAGTGTTTTATGAGGGAGAAAGTGACTTGTGAGACAGAAAAGTCCGTCTGGGTTTTAGTTTTCTATTTAAATCTCTATTTTCAGTTAATTAAAAGTACTAATAAATGCTAGTAAAATCAGGCTTGGGGACTGCAGAATAGAATATGTTAAGACTGCTGGTTGCAGCCATGTTATTGGTATGGGGCTATAATACCTAAGGGAATTATCTTGGTTTATACAGGGTTTTTGGATAAACATCACAAGTTTCTCAGAAAGATTCTAGTAGTGGTATAATGCATAATGCCATTTGCATATATTTTTCGCTGCAGGAGTCCCGCACAAAGTGGGTCAGTGTCTGATGAGTTCGATGGTCTGGCGGAATCGGACAAGAGTCTCAGGCTATCAGATGATGATGGTCATCTCAGGCTATCAGATGATGATGGTCATCAGTCACTGGAGAACCCCACTGAGCACTTAAATGCATTTCATAACGAGTCCAGTCAGAGTAATACCGCAGCAATGTTGGTTGGGAAGAGTCAGGTAAAGAATATTACTGCTCTTCCTGGATATACCCTCACTCATTATGAAAGCCCTGTTTCCTGGGATGGGGAAGACGAGAGCTGCTCTGTAAGTGTGCTTGACGATCTGGATCTGGACGCATGCAAAGAGTACAGCAGAAGGGTTGAAAAACAATGCAGTACGTTTCCCGCAAATTCTGTACACAGGGGCTCGAGTGCACCGAGAAGTGATTTAAATCATATAGAAAAACATGGTAATTCAGCTTCTAAACCTTTCTTGAGTGTATCTGAAATCAGTCTTCGAACCAAGCCTTCACGGTTGCCGCCACCTTCGAGACCTCCACCTGCCTTAGTGTTGAAGAAAGGAGAAAGTGACAGATTGAGGTCAAAACTCAATGCTTCTAAAAATGCATCATTTTCTTTTGATGTGGAAGCCGATGTGACGTTATCTCCTGACGTCAGGGAGGATGGAAATAAGAATTTTCAATCGAAGCATGAAAGAGCTAAAGAATCCTTGGAGAGGAAGGACATTAGGAGCCACTGTGCAATGACAGCTGAGGAGGAAACAAGCAAGGGCGTCAGGACAAGCAGCATTAAGGATGAGAAATTGCTCAAATCACTTGGAAAAGAGACGAAAGTCTCGATACCTTACATTGAAGAAAAGATGTCTGCAACAAGGGATACTGAAGATATTTCAGGATCGTACAGCAACTCCAGCATCGACAGTTGTGCCGGGGGTGTTGCGTGGAGGGAAGAAACTGAATATTTTGAGGTTATTGAAAAGAAAGTTAAAGTTTTCAAGAAAGATCAAGGATTGGAGGAAGAGTGGCCAAGGCTTGAGATGACCAGCAAGCAACAGAAAATATTGAAGACAACGTTGCATGATCCAAAAGGGTTTCGAGAGGAAGTGGAACCGAACAAAATGGCCCATCAATGTGATTCACATCAGGCTGTCCCAGATAGTATCCAGCAATTTGGAGATAGTGGAAGGCTACAGAAAGACCTCACTGTGATTGTCGAGGTGCTCCAAGAAGCAGACGGAAATTTGAGTGAAGTGGTTGTTGATGCAAAAGTAGAAGCAGACCGAAATTTGAGTGAAGTGGTTGTCGATGGAAAAGTCAAGGTATCCCCTAAAGGAATGGATACTGAAAAAGTGTTTATTGGAGATGCTATATTGACGAAACAGAATTCTGTGTGCCAGGGAGGACTTGATGATGTTGAACGAGCAGAAACCAAAGAAAGAGTGAAGTTGAGAAAAGAACCTGAAGGAACTAAGGCAGCTTCTCAAGTAGGATTTGAAAATGAAACCAGAAAGACCCATGGGCCTAATGAAAATGAAATGATCACTAAAGAAGCTAAAAAGTATGAAGAGCATGACAAAAAGTTGTATAGAGTGGTTGGGCTTGGAAAATTTGAAAATCAACACCTTACTTGTGAAGATGAGAAAGATGAACTGACATATAGAAATGCTTTTCACCAAGTTAGAGATGAGAAAGAAGAAAAAATGGGTCTTAAAATTAAGGTAACTGAAGAGAGATCTGGAGATGCTTCTAGAGGACATATAGCTGAGGTTTTTCAAACAAAAGGGCATACGAACTTGACTAGTGCTGGTGCACTGGAAGAACATAGTGGGCATACTGAAGAGATTGAGGACGCTGAGAGGAATGAACACGAAAGAGAAGTTGAATGCGACGTGGATAATCATGTCGTCTTTGAAGAGAATCAGTTGAAAGCCTTTGATTGTGGGCGTGAACTTGATGGAGCTGTTGCAACCAGTGGTTCAGGTAAGCATGATGATGGAATCGTACAGTTGAAGGCTGAACCTAATAAGAGCGTATATGAAGCTGTGTCTAGAGTCGAAAGCACATCTGTTAAAGGAAAATCCAAGGGATTTGGCAAAAGTAAAAATGAGTTTGATGGTGGAAGCATTGGTAGTGCAACAATCAACACTTTAGAGTCCTCTCTATTGCCTAAGAAGATGAAAGATTTAAATATTTATGCCAGTGGGATGGGAATTCCATGTGCTATGGCTGACAACGTGTCCTCTGATTTTGCATATGGTCATGAACGTAAGAAGGTAGTTTACACAGAAGATGATCAGGGTCTGCCCAGTAAAGGAACTCAATTTACGAGCAAAGGGGCAGATATCAGTGATACTTTCACTCCATATAAAGTTATGAGAGAATCAACTACAAATGGAACGAATGTAGAAGATGCTTCATCAGTGCTAAAGCATAATGGTGACACTTCTTTTTCGATAAAAAATTCTACCCATAAAATTGAAAGAAAAGGCTATATCATGAAAGAGAACCTTGACACGAAAGACCAAAAAACAGGGGAAAGAATAAGAAGAGATATTGAGCTTGAAAATGAACATATCAAAAGACTAGAAGAAGAGAAGGAAAGGGAAAGGGAAAGGGCCAAGGACAGAATGGCTGTTGGCAAAGCAGATCTTGAATCTCGTGAAAAATCATATGCTGAAGTTCATGAAAGAGCAGAGAAAGCTGCTGTGGACAGGGCTACTGCTGAAGTAAGGCAAAGAGCCATGGCAGGGGCTCGACAGAGACTAGAGAAGGCATCAACAGAGACTAAGCTCAGGGATGAACGAGCTGCCGTGGAGAGAGCGACTGCAGAGGCTCGTCAGAGGGCGGCAGAAAAATCAATGGCTCAGAAGTTTGCGGCTGAGGGCCATGTTCGTGTAGAAAGACCTGTCTCCGATAGGTTTCAAACTTCTTTTCGATCTGCTGATATGAGGCAAAACTCTTTGGCATCTGTGAGTAGGCTTCATATTGTATATCAATAGTTTTCATCTGGCTTGTTGATTGGCTGTTGATATGATTCAGTTGGCTGGATTGACAGGACATTCGCTCTGAAAGCACTGGAATCTCAAACAGTTTGCGATATTCATATTCTTTCCCACATGTTGGTATGTGATTTAAACATTGATAATAATAGCTTACTTGTTCTGCTGTGATATTCTTTTACATTTTGCTTGAACTCTATGGCACTTCACTTTCAAATGGTAGTTTCATTGTAAACACACAAAAGGGAGGGGAGGGTTTTGAAGGTTAATAACGATAAAAAAGAAAACCCCTCCACCAGCCCCTATTGCTTTCTGAAGCTTTTTACTTGAATTGGATGACGTAGGGGCTGATGGTGAATCACCTCAGAGGTGTAAAGCTCGGTTAGAGAGATACAGGAGAACAGCTGAGCGTGCAGTGCGTGCCTTATTTTCTTGCTATTCCTTTTCCTTCTTCTGATGGTGAGAAATTATGAATTTAATATCATTGTGTTTTAGGCAAATGCCCTGGCTGAGAAGAACAGGCGAGATCTTCTTGCACAAAGAGAAAGGGAAGAAATGAATGTATGCACCATTCCTCGTCTCTGAGATCAATTTGTGTTGTCTAGGGTTGTGTATTATCTTATAAAAATATACTTTTGCAGCGAGTTGCAGAAACTCTAGATATTGAAGTCAAGAGATGGGCAAATGGAAAAGAAGGCAATCTTCGTGCACTACTTTCAACTTTGCAATACGTATGTTCTTTACTGTTACTTTTATATTCAAATTGAGTATATGATTTGCTTTTCATATTCTAATCAATAGCAAACATTAGACGCTTATCCCTTTCTTTTGTTCTATACTATTATCAAGGACCATTAATTCTACCATGAGAATGGAAAACTTAAGCAACAAGACTGAATGCTGTTAGAGTAGTTCTCAGATTCAGTCTGTTTATATCTACCATAGACTGCAGGCTTACAATCTTTTAAGAGTTAAAAGAAGAATAAATACAAGCAGCACTGAATTTCATTTGTTTTTTCTGTACCTGGGTGAAGTTGAAAAAGCTAAAGGATGCATACTTGTTCGTTTACCTTTCTTTTTTTAGTAACATGAATAAACTTTTTTTCCCTCTCTTCTAGATCAATATGCTTCCAATACTTGCTATCCTCTCCTTTAATTATCATTACCCTTCTTATTCCTTTTGTTTTATTTTTTGAGGGATTCCGTTTTGTTTATTTATTTTGCTCTTTCTTGGCATTCTCATTTTTATCTTTTTCCATGAAGTTCTTTCCGCCGACATGAGTGATAAGCATTTTTTTAGTTAATAATTGGCTTACATGGTGTCTATGTACAGACCTCAGTGAATCTACTCCAGTTTGCATGAATATAAATTCTAATTAATTAGACGAAAGAAATAGGCAGTTTATTGCACAATTAGTGCATCTCTCTCTCCCCTGTCCATCTCTCTCTCTATCCACATCCCCATTCCCTGTTTTTGTCATTTCCCTTTTCTATGTTAATTTTTTTCCCTTCCTTCGTGTATGATAAGGCTTTGGGGGTAGCGAGTAGTCATTAATTAATATCTGTGTTGGCTTCAAATTTCCTAATGATCAATGCAAATGCTATTTCATTGTATTCTTTTCAACGATTGGCGCTTGTAAGCTTGTTGAACATAATAAAATGAAGACAATTTTTTGATATTTCAACTTATTTGTAATGTATTTTTGATATGTGCTATGTCTAGTCTTTGGCTGTCTGAACGATTATCATATAAAAGTTGGACTATCCATATGACAGATTCTTGGGCCTGATAGTGGTTGGCAGCCAGTTCCATTAACTGAAGTTATAACTTCTGCGGCTGTGAAAAAGGCTTACAGGAAAGCCACTCTTTGTGTACACCCAGACAAATTACAACAACGTGGAGCAGCAATTCAGCAGAAGTACATATGTGAGAAGGTCTTTGATCTTCTAAAGGTTCGTAACTAGTATATTTAATGTTTCACATTCAGCTATGCTTGGCATTAATGATGTTTGATCCATCACTAAATTTTTGTAGGTGTAAACTTTCTAAGCTTTGCCTGTGGAGCCATTTGTTTAACAAAGTTGGCTTCTTTCTGGAATAATAAAAATTTTGAGCTAAGAATCCCACATTTTCATTTAAATCACTTTAGAATTTCACTGCTGATAAAACTTCAGACTTACTGGTAAGTTAGGATCCATGGTTGCTCCAACATTCAACTATGGCAGAATTCAGTTATATGAAAAGAGAAGTAATTCAGAATCTTATTACACAAGATGGTGTAGTAAGTGCAATTCATCTTCAAATTTTTCTGAATTTCCTAAAAGCATAATGAGTTTGAGTTAGTGACGATCCAAAACTCTTCAAATCAACCCCATGTCCTCAAAAGTGACGCCGTGATTATTTGAAACTTGATATTCTAGAGTTGGCTTATAGAGGTGAAAATGAAGTAAGTTTCCTCTTACAATGACAAGTTCATTTGAGTTACCGAGGCTTGTACGAATTAAGTGGTTCAAAGAATTAAGTCTTTGAATTAAATGGTTAAAAAAAAGCCCGTCCCTCGCATATTGCAAATTTCTGGAACTACGATATGTAATTTCAGTCCCATTCATGTTCTAAACTTGAGTTTTTACATGTCCGACTCGTACCAACTGCAACCAGTTTCTTAAGGTCCTTCAAATATAATTATGTTTAGACTTCAGATATACAAGATAACCATGTGGCATGATGTGAAATGTTATAGTGTCTTTATTACATCATCTAATTCGTTTTTAGGAAGCTTGGAACAAGTTCAACTCAGAGGAGCGGTGAATTAAGGCATTTTGTCTGCTCAATGACAGTGTGTGCTGGCAGCTCGACTTCCGGCAAGTAATTGGTTTCTTTTTGGTCTTACTATACTGTTTACTGGAATCTAGTAATGCTTCACAAAACTTGCACAAAGTACATTTGTCCATATGTTCAATGTAGAAAAAGATGATACCAAATTTAGTAGTCCTCGAGATGATACTTTTCCGAT